ATGTTAGTCTGGTCTTGCTGAAACAAAAGACAGGACTATGCAGCACTTTAAAGACTAACAAGATGGTTTATTAGATGATGAGCTTTCGTGGGCCAGACCCACTTCCTCAGATCAAATACTGGTTAGGAGGGATAAAAAGATACAAAGGAAGGTGCTACTTTACTATAAACATATTTATACTGGCATATAATTAGTGTACTCCAGGAATCTTAACTATATTTGTTTAGAATACAGTAAATCACAGTATTTTTTCAAATCATGGCTTCTGACAACACTGCAAATCCCACTATAGTTCACATGAACCCTTTGCACACAAGGCTGGAGGCACACATCTCTGTGCCTCATTGTGTATCTGTACAAGATTGTAAAGGGCGGAGTGGCCACAATCCCACCTTCAGCTGCCTTGCAATTCAAGGTGCATATTCCTGCTATAATTTTAAATAAGGGATAGGTCATAGGATCCACATTGACACTGTCTCACAAAGCCTGTTATTGAGAAGTAAGTAACCATTCTGGGATCATGACCGTGTGGAACTTCACAAGGTGGCCAGCAAGCAGTATTTCCTGGTAGCAATACATGTATAGCAGGAGGGGCAGTCTTGTCTAAATCAGTCAAACAGAAACTCAAGTACTGTTCCTCTGGACTTGGCATCTGCCCTGGCAGCTATGTCAAGTGCATAATGCATGACAAAAATTTGTGGGATACTCCACGCATCTTCCTTACAAATATCAGGAAATGGCACAAAAATTTGTGGGATACTCCACGCATAGGAAATGTTAAGCACCTATAGCAACAGAAACCTGCGATCTGTGCTCTGGTGGAGTGTGCCTTATTGTCTGGAGGAAAAGGTTTGCTAGTCAACTCATAGCAGGTGTGTATTGACATTTATAGGCTTCAACTTTCAACACTCTGGATATGGTCAGGCAGAAGAGGAGGGAAGAATCTGAAAGGCTTAGTCCTATTGGATGTTTGCAGGGCCCTGCTGAGATATCTCAGAGTATGGAGCTTCTCTCCTCCCAGCAAAGAATGAAAATTCAGGAAAAAACTAGTAAGGTTGTATACTGGTTCAGAAGGAATTCTGAGACCATTTTAGGAAGGAATGCAATTTCACCAACATTGTGTCCCAGTTGAAGGATGCGTTCAGTAGGGATGTTAAAAAGCATTTAATATGGTAACTGTGTTGCCGCTAAAATCTTAGTGGTTACATGGTTACACATGCTGCCCTTGCCCACCTGCATCCCAAGAAGGTGGCTTCACTGTGGCAGTGAAGCTACCTCCCAGGAGTAGAGCCAGCAGCTCTTGCCTGCCTGGCTCCTGAGTGGAGGCGTCCCTGCCTCACTGTAGTGTAGCTATCTCCCTGGGAGCTGGCTGAGTTTGAGTTTAACCAATACCATTAACTGATAAGCTTCATGGTTAAATGGTTAGTCAGTTACACTCTAACATCCCTAGTGTTCGGACATACATGCTTGGAATTCATTGACTTTCCATGCTGATGTGATGACTATGAGAAAGTCATGATGGCGAGGTGGTATGACAATCACTGTGATAAAAGTCTGAATGGAGGTCTATAGATCGCAGGAAGACAATGTGACGGTCTCCTATGAGAATGGAGTCTCTAACTGGAGGGCAAGGTTGAAAAATGACCATTAAAGCATGTCACAAAGCTTTCTCTGGAAATGGGTGACAGGATAGGATCACGTGAGGATTACTTGTTGTGTTCCCTCCCTCTGGGGCATCTGGTATTGGTCACTATCAGCAGACAGGCTACTGAGCTGGATGGACCATTGGTCTGACCCAGCATGGGCATTCTTATGTTCTTATGCTGCAACCATGTGTACTGAGAGCTAAATGCCAATCCTCCCTGTGTTAGGAGTGGTATGTCCAGAACCTATATTGCGTTTGGGGCTGCCCCCGTAGAAGAAAAATCTTTTCCACTTTGAGTGTTTGTTTTACAAAGCCAAAAGACCTCCAACAAAATTTCCTGAACTTATAGGGAATAGTCTGACAGCCCTACTGATCCAGCCAACATCCAGGTAGTTAGGTGCAGTGACTCTGGGTCTGAGTCAAGTATTTGACCCTGGTTTTGCGTAGGGATGTTAAAAAGTGGTTAATTAAGTAACCATGTAACCACTGCAAAAGCGACGCAGAGTCCTGTGGCACCTTGTAGACTAACAGATTTATTGGAGCATAAGCTTCGTCTTTGCCCACTTCGTCTTTGCCCATGAAAGCTTATGCGCCAATAAATCTGTTAGTCTATAAGGTGCCACAGGACTCCTCGTCGCTTTTCCAGATTCAGACTAATATGGCTACCCCTCTGATATGTGTAACCACTGAAAATCTTAGCAGTTACAGAAGGCCTGGGCAGAATGCAGCCCACCAAGCCACCAGATCCGGCCCACAGATGCAGCAGAGAGCCCCAGGAAGGTTCTCCGCTTGCCTCACCACACCAGCACGCTGCTCAGAAATGTGGCTTTGGGGCATTTTTTCTATAAAAACAAGCCACCAGATCCGGAGAGGAGAGGAGAGGAGAGAAGAGGAGAGGGAAAACTTTAGGAGCTGTTTCCCCCTCCCAGCATAATCCCATTTGTCAGTTTTTGGCCAAAAACCGGCCAATGGGAGCTGCCTGTTTCAATAACAGGCAGCCACAAAGCACAAGGGGGCTCCAGAGCACATGGCTACTGCCTCTGTGTGTGTGGCGGGGGGGAGGGAGAGGGGTGATAAATCAGCCCCGCTCTGTCAGTGGCTCAGGGTTTGGTACAGTTAGCTGACTGACTGGGCAGGGCTAATTAATCACTAGTGAAGCTATGCTGCCAGGCAGCTTAGAGGGAACACTGACAGGCAGGGAGGCTGATTCTGGAATGGCTGCTGGCTGGTAAGTCTTCTGGCCAGAACCTGCTTCTTGCACTCCAATCCCTTTCCTTCCCCAACTGTCTGTCCCCCACTCTTGCTCCCTACTTCACATATCCAAATCTTCTGCCCCCCTCCTGTACCCATATCTCCTTCCATATCAGGCACCCCAATCCCCTGCCCCAGATCATAGTCCCCTCCTGCCCTAGCTCACAATCCAAATCCCTGCACCCCTTCCTGTACCCCAATTTCCTGCCTAGGTCACAATCCAACCCCCTGCTCCTCAGTCCAGTGCCCCAGGTCACAACTGCCTCCTTCACCCAAATTCCTCCTTTACCCCAAGCCTCCTTCTGCACCCATCCTCTATCCCAGACCTCACATCTCCTCTATTAGTATCATGGAAGAGTTTGGCCCTCTACCATTTTCCAAATTCTTACCCACCCTGAGTTACATACTGCGGGCTCTACAGTATGAAATTTATACTACAGAGCCCACCACACAGCCAGTTCCCCAGAGCATACAGGCAGCCAGTGTGCACTGAGAGCTGGCTTCCGGCTACTGGCCTCACTCCCAGGGAGCCAGCTTGATACAGTATAAGCTTGATACAGAGGCAGAAACTTCTGTCCCCACTCCTGGCTCCACTTCCAGAGCCTGCAGTGTGGGGTGGCAGTTGGCTTCCTGGGAGCAGAGCCAGGAGGCAGCATGTAACCATTATGGTAACCGATAAGCTTATGCTTATCAGTTAACCATTTCAACAGTTATACTATTACATCCCTAGTTTTGAGACAGTATATCGGGACACATGGGAATGCATACTGGGAGGCTGGCTGGACATTTGCATGAGACCCAACAACTAAAGCAGCTTCAGCCAATAGGGGCTACCATAATGCAACCTTGCCTCATCACACCTATTAACCTGTGAATCAAGGGAATTGGTGAAAGAATATACAAGTTCTGAGACCAAATGGGAGGAGGGATAGCTCAGTGGTTTGAGCAATGGCCTGCTAAACCCAGGGTTGTGAGTTCAATCCTTCAGAGGGCCATTTAGGGATGTAGGGCAAAATCTGTCAGGGATGGTACTTGGTCCTGCTGTGAGGGCAGGGGACTGGACTTGATGAACTCTCAAGGTCCCTTCCAGCTCTATGAGATAGGTATATCTCCATACATAGATAAAGGCTTCTAGAAGGGAACCTGGATACACCACCTCTGAAAAAATTAATCCCTAATCATCTCATTATTAGCCTACCTCCGTGTGTTAAAATACTATCACAACTAAAATTAACACCAATATGTTGATCCATGAAATGTAAGGAATCTGAGATAAAGGGAAACTGATTGATGGTTCATATAATTTTATTATACCAAGTAGATCAAGGAAAAGCTAAAAAGGTACAGCAAAACATATATGAATTGATCTCCTCATTTCATTTGTCAATGTACTGTACCTTGGATTTTAAAATACAAAAATATGTGCTTAAGTCCATAGTTACATTTCTACCTATTTTCCCCTTACAGCTTGTAAGCAAACATTTAAAATGATTAAATTGCTATGATTTTTAGAATCAGATTCAATTGTCTTTACAAAAAGAACATTGTGAATTCATATTAATAGAATAAAATGTAACTATCTTGAGAGATACACAACACATTTTCAAACCTTTTAACAACTTGACAAGCAGCAGTTTAAAAAAAATGAGAAGTAACAAAACCTCATGCTATTTTTGTTCAGTATAGAAACAAATTATTTCCCCTTAAGTTTAAAGTAATCTATTTCATGAGAATGAGTTTTTTGGAAATGTCTGAATTTCTGACCTAAACCTGTGGGTAGGTTTATATTACATTGAATCTCAATAGCAAAAAGCAAGCTGTACTGTTTTGAAAGTGATGTTATATAAATTACTCGAGACAATAAACTCAATATTAAACTGTTCTGAAGTATTTCTGCACATGGGCAATGAAGAATAGCTGTGTTCAGAGTGTAAAGATGTACTTTTTTTTCCTGGAAACTATATGCAATACTCACAGGAGAGGATCCTTTTCTGCTGCTGTCATCAGTTATGCTTTTGCCTGTGGCTCCTACTTCAATTGTAGCTCTATGACCACCAGCAACATTTCCACTTCCAGCACTTTTGGGGGTTTCTTCTAATTGCAGAAGGTTTAACTGTAATGGAGAACTGCACCGTGACTGGAACAAAGGAGGTGAGGCCTGATCTTGAGGACCAAGAAACTGTGGCATGGAGGAATGGGATGCATCATTTTGTGATTCCATGGCAGGTGCCTTTTCACTTTCTGCTGGTATTTTATAATGAAATGGTTGTGCTGGAAAGAAAGTCGGTTGAGGAAAAGGATTTGGGGCAGCTAATGTTGGCTGTGCTGAAAGCATTGTCTGTGAAGAGAAAGCAGGGTCAGCGGAAAAGTTAGGTTGGCAATTATAAAGTGTCTGGGGTAAATCATTGTTCAATTGGGTATACATATAGTTGGGGAGCACAACTGCTACCACTGGCGTTAGAAGAGGTGCAGAGAACTGTGACAGCTGCAAAGGACAATTATTTCCAGAATCTGGTAAATCACTAAAACCAGAAAGGCAAGCCTCAGGATCTGGTGGCACAGTTGAAAAAACTGGGAGTGGATATGCAGGCATAACAGCAGGGAAAGACATGGCTGAATGGCTAGCTTGAGAAGTATCTGATGGTGACGACCACGCGGTACTATTTAGGCCTTGCAGAGGGAATCGATGAGAGGGATTGGTTTCAGAAGTTGTACTATCAGAGGATTCCTTTGGTTTAATTCGTTTTGATTTTGATTTCCTGTTTTTTCCACTTTTCCTCCAGGAGTGATCTACTCCAAAAATACCATTTCTTTGCCCACGAGTACCTGGAACACAGTGGGGAAAATATTACATGAAACTGAAAAATATCCCAAGTCATTCTCAGAAGCTGCTGAAAATTGTGTCTTTTGTTCTATTCCAACAGAATGGAACTGAACAGGCAGGGCTCAGCTTCACTCTCCCACCTCTGGTGCAGAGATTTGCAGAAGCAGCTATATTATCACAATTGCAAAGTAAGGAAAATCAAGAGAAGGAAAAACAGTTTTATATATAATTTTGTGCCCAAATATAGTCCCTTTGCTCCTTTGGCCAACAGTGACTTCAGTTTGTGAGGACCCCTAGAACTCTCTCACAGCAACTACAGTAAGAGGCAATTCTAGCTCACTTTGTTTTAGAGAATCACTATTAGAAAGGAAGCTGAAAACTCTCAAGCAAACAAGCAAAAGAGATGCAAACAGAAGAGGAGATAAATCCACAACAAAAGATATACTAAAACCAGAAATTTTTCTGTTTTTGTTTTGAGGAAAAGCGTACAATGGGAAATAAACCTATGCAGAAGAACAGGTCGCTTAATTTTACACGGAAGACTAGTTTGTTTTTTAAAAAAGGAATGTGTGTCATAAGTGTCAAACATTTGAAAAATCTCCATTCACCTGGTGCACACTTGCCAGAAGGAAGGGAAATTTTTTTCTCTATTATCAATGGTGTTTAACTCTTGCTGTGGATTGTATATACTGTGTGTGTGTTAACGGCCACCATGGAACACATGCCATAATTAAAAATGAAATTCTGCCCTCTCAGCTGATTTTAACTCATCACCATCAAACTCAGGTTAAGTGAATACATTAGTTCCTTACAGCATAATATGAGGATCTTTCATTATTATTTTAATTTATCACTGTCACTCAATTACTTATAAGTGAATTTATCCATCAGTTCTAAAATGTGGCAGAAGGCTGCCCCTTTGTTTTTCATACAGGTTGGACCTCTCTTCTCCGGCACCCTGGACCTGGATGGAGGAATTTGCCGGACAAGGGGAGGTCCCCTGATACCATCCCCTCAGCCTGCTGCCCCCTCCCCGCTGCCAGCTTCTTCAGCGCAGTTGGGCTGTCTGCAGATCTGCCCCAGCTCCACTCCCGGGCACATGTAGACCCACTGCCGAATGGCAGGTTGTTTGATCGGCCTGTCGCAGCCTCAGCCTCGCTGCTATGTGACCCTGGCTGTGCTGATTCTGCCAGGCTGCTGGAGCCAGCTTCCTTTCCCAGGCTGCAACCCTGGCCCTAATGCCTGACAGCAGGCAGCCCCAATCATGCTACTGCCGCTACTGCCCAGGCTGCTGGGGTCCCACTGCTAGTAGACTGGCAGGGTTGCACCGGACTCCCAAGCTGCTGGCCCTCCTGCCCCGGTGCTCTCTCATGCAGGAATATCCATGGTTATGCTGGACCACACATTGCCAGACGAGAGAATCCCAGATTTGGGAGGTGCAACCTGTACTGAAGTAAAATGCACTAGAGTGCACAATTTCTAGGCATTCACATCCTGCCATAAAGAGATAACAGAATTTATATCTTTTTAAAATATTGATCATACATTCTGAAGTACTGAAAAGCAATTCTACACATATACATTTAAATATTTTTATGGATTTAATTCTTAATTGTTAACCTTTGAACAAGAAATTCATTAATGAAATGTTTCACCATTTTTCATGGCAACTTGCATAGTAGTACAGCAGACTCTTGGAGTTACAAACACCAGAGTTACAAACAGGCGTTAACCACTAGGGATGTGAACGTGTACCATGCACATGGTTAAACGATGCACCTGGGCGCGTAACTATATAACTGCTGAATTTTTCAGCAGTTACACCTAAATAAATGCTTTAGTATTGCTAAATAAATGTTTTAGTATTCCTATTAACCACGAGTCATTTGGAAATGAAAGCATGCAATCAGGAAGCAGCAGAAACAAAAAAAGCAAATACAAGTACAGTGTTGTGTGCAACATAAGCTACTAAAAATAAAAGGAACACTTAAAAAGATTTGATAAGGTAAGGAAACAGTTTCTGTGCTTGTTTAATTAAAATTAAGATGGTTAAAAGCAGCTTTTTTCTTCGGCCAAGTAATATCTCAAAGCTGCATTAAGTCAATGCTCAGTTGTAAATCACATCCTTACTATTTGTGGCAGAAGGAAGGAGGATGTGCTCTACCCTTTGTGTGCCTTCTTAAATCTCTCCAGATAGGGGATCAAAATCAAAGTCACAAATCTGAAGACATTAAGGGAAAAATACTCCTGCAGTCCCACTAAGGGGATGTATTTGGCAAGTTTAAAGTGCTTCAGTAGTCTAGCGCCAACTCTGGGGGTATGGGGAAATTGCTCTACAACAGACCTCAGAGGCCCAGCACTCTCCTCTGGGTCAGGGTTCAGTCTACCATTTCAGATGCGACTCCTGTAGTCTGCTGCTTAGGGAAATCCTGCTTTCCCTCCCCGCTAGGTGACTGCAGTTTAAAGGCTTTCTCATCATGAGTGACTGACGGGGCAGGAGAGGTGGGGTTAGTCTCATCTGTGGAGTCCTCTGAGGATACAAATGTTTACCTGTGGATGTAGATGGACACTGGGATCCTCTGATCCACAGGGTTCTATTTCCAAGACACACAGAGGTAAACAGAGAGGAATGGTCCTGTTGCTCCTAAGAGCCAGAATCCTATGCTGGCAGTCTAGCTGTACCACCCTCAGACCCAGCCTCTCCTTTCTGGAGTTGTAGTGCGCTGCTGGCAGTGGGGCTGGGAGGTACAACTGCACTATGGGGATGAGCTGCCGGTGCAGGGCACTGGCTCTTGGGAATAACAGGACCATGTTCTTCTTCCTTGCAGCCAGTGTCTCTTGCGTGGGGTGGCAGCAGTTATGTCCAGGGGTGGGGGTGGGGTTGGGTCTGAGCTCCTGGACCCAGAGCAAGCCAGGACTGAGCCAGGATACCTGCCCGCCTGGCTCCTAATACACTTTAAATGCAGAGCTACAGCAGGAGTAGGTCCCAGATCCGATGCAAGCTGGGTCTAATTTATGCTGCTGGTCAGCTGGCAAAAAATGTACTGGCAAGGGAGGGGAAAGAAAATGTGTTTAGTCTGTAGCATTAACCGATACGCTTTTGCTTAGCGATTAATCGGTTAATTGACTACACTATTAGGGTATGTCTACACACTACCACCCTAGTTCGAACTAGGGTGGTTACTGGGTATGTCTACACTACCACCCTAGTTCGAACTAGGGTGGTTAATGTAGTCATTCCAAGTTGCAAATGAAGTCCGGGATTTAAATATCCCTGGCTTCATCTGCATCTTGCCGGGCGCCGCCATTTTTAAATCCCTGGTAGTTTGGACTCCGTGCCTGCGGCTACACGCAGCACGGAGTAGGTAGTTCGAATTAGGCTTTCTAATTCGAACTACTGTTACTCCTCATGGAACAGTGTCCTCCTCGTGGAATGAGGTATAACGGTAGTTTGAATTAGAAAGCCTAATTCGAACTACCTACTCCGTGCTGCGTGTAGCCGCAGGCACGGAGTCCAAACTACCAGGGATTTAAAAATGGCGGTGCCTGGCAAGATGCAAATGAAGCCCGGGATATTTAAATCCCGGGCTTCATTTGCAACTTCGATTGACTACATTAACCACCCTAGTTGGAACTAGGGTGGTAGTGTAGACATACCCTTACATCTCTTCTAGAGATCGGTGTCCCCTCGCCATTTCACTTTGGGCTTTCTGAACATGAAGCCTAACTTTATGCAAGGAAATTTTGTGCCTTAAAATGACCCATGGTTTAGTAATTGTTTCTGAACCCGCAACATCTAAAGACATGTTTTTTTCCTGTTCACAGATTTGTTGAACCATTCAAACTAAGTTCAAAGACAACTATTTGCTTACCATGTTTACCAGGACGTCCTCTGGGTCTATCACGTAAATAATAATTGCAACGGGACTGAAAAATATTGAATCGTTTGATTTCTTTAAATTTATTCAAAAAGCTCTGCTCTTCTTTTTGTGTATGCACTGCAAGGATTTCCTTTGTAAGTCCCAGTTTCTTAAAAGGCTCCTTTTCTTGGTTTGCATGGGTAGTTCTGGATAGAGGGACAAGAAGGTGACTGTCTAAAAGTTCTGTTCCACTAGGACCATCTTCTATTATTTCTAGAACAAAAGGGAAAAATGAGGCAAAGTGCCATTAATTTTAAAATTAGAACTTTAGAATAACAGCACAGTAACTCTAAAATAGGATGTCCCTCCATAATATTCTATAGCAACAAAAAACACACACAATCCCATTGTAATTAGCTATTCCGTTATCAACCATGGTAAAATGTCTTAAATTAGGCTATTCATATCAATAGTAAATACTGTACCTAATTCAGGTTGTGGTTTTTTGTCCCCAACATGAACTATGGTGCTACTGTAGCTGCACTGACTGGTGAAAGATACAACACTTTCTGGTTTCCCAGGTAAAGCCAAAGAAGTTAAGTGAGCACCAACTACTGGAGGACCATTTGATTTATCAGATGTCTTCAACACAGCAGGGTCTATATGAGCTTTCAACAGCAATCTTTCTTCTTTAGAAGAGAAAAAGTTAATAACATTTCATTAGATGAAACATAAACTAATCTAAATAAAAATCAAGCACCTAAGTCATAAAGTGCCAAAGACTGAACTGCTTTTGAGAAGACGGCAAAGTTATTCAGATTCTGTTCATTCCCAATAGTTCAACAGTGTCCAATGTGTTTATATCAGATACTACTAGGGATGAAAGCAACTAGTTGACTATCCGATAAGAACAAGCTTATCGGATAGTTGAATAGTGACTTCACTATTCGCTCCTCCCCACCCCCCTCTATCAGCAAGGAGGGGAAGCAGTGCTGGGGGGGAACGGGCTTAAAAGGAGCCAGTGCTGGGGGAGCCAGCTTAAAAGCTGGTTCCCCGCCAGCACGGTCTCTGCGGGGGCAGGGGAGGCAGAGGAATAGCGGGGGACTAGACACAAGCCAGGAATCAGCTGTCCTGGCTTGTACCTGGTTCCTCCCCCCCCATCCACCCTCATTGCACTTCAGTGTTTAAAATGTTTAAACAGCCTGCTGGCTCTGAATACATTTAAAAGGCAGAGCTGCAGTGGGGTTAGGTCCTAGGGCCTAGAGCTAACCCCGCTGTGGCTCTGCGGTTTCCTCTGCTTATCAACTAATTGATTAATTGATTAAATGCAATTTAACATCCCTAGATACTATCCCAGGTATCATAACCTATGACAGGTAACATAACCTATGACACTCTTTGAAAAAAAAAATTAAGCCTGAATTTGATTTTTAATCAGTAAGTGCCACTCAATTTCAACCTAGACATACAGACTCAAATGGAAAGATATTTTCCTTGATAACTGAAATTTACAGATGGTCAAAGAAAGAAGAATAATCCTAGGGAACTTAAACAGTATCATCTTCAAAATTATAAAAATAATAAAAATCAAATTCTGTCAAGCCAATTTATATATCCTTCTGCCTCATTTCTGTTTTCCTCCATTGCTTTCCCAACAATTACATCAACAATTTATAGCCATGAAGAACTCTATTTTTTAAAAATACAACATATCTTTTATTACTTTAAAATTGTATAATTACTTATAATAACCATATTCACTTTCCTCTTAATCAATTTGCTTTAGTTTTGACCCCCAGGAAAGTTATGTATGTACATTAATATGCTCAATACACTGAGTAATTGCCACACAAACATGTAACTGTTCAAATGTCAAAACAAATATAAGATTATTGCTATTTCTACTGTGATTAGCAGTCAAGGCCTTCAGAAACTTGCAATTTAAGGGAATCAACCATATCAATTGATAAAAATCAATCTAAAAATCTTAACCACATTATCAATCTATAAAAGCTGCAAACATTCATGAATTTCACAATCTTATCTAGCTTTTCAAAAATCAAACACTAATAATTGAGTACAAACAGATATTGAAATTGTAGAAATATTTCATCAATTGTCATTGATAGAGCAGAAGTTACCTTCAGCTAGAATTATTTGGAATTTTGATTTCACTGTCACTGTGTCTTGCTTGATATGAAACTGTCTAAATCTAACATACACATTCTTTCCACCTCCACCCAAAAATATAAACTTCTGAATGCTCTGCAAATAATTAATCACAATAATGTCATTGCTAAAGCCTAATTAAAACATTAAATTAATACCTGCTGATGATTTTATGGAATTATCAGCGGTTTTTTGCTTGTGATCATTAGAATCCAGTGAAGCAGCATTTGATGAAGGTTCACATTTTCTCTTTAGTGTACCAGGTAGGCTGCAACTCTCCAAGTACCTACATAATAAATGTTTAACAATATTAAACAAAAATGTTGCAAGCTTAGAGGTTAAAAACAATTTACATGCTCACAATACACTTTGGATGGCAGCCTACCTGATGACACCATCTAAACAACTAATCTGTTGATAGGAATACACAGGCTGTTCCTTCCAGGCCAGTTTCTCAGGAACCACATCCTTATGAGCAGCAATGGCAGAAGTATCCTTTTCAGTTGTATCTTCAATCCAAACACTGGGACAATTTTTTTTTTCTGTATAAAGATCCATGCTTATTACAAGCTAAACCTTTATGACTTTTAACATAAAACAGATGTAAATCAAACCCTTATTTATATCTTCCTTCTGAATGACTCAGAAATTATCCTTCATTAAAATATAGTAAAACCAATAAATATTGCAATAAAATGTTTGTGCCAATCACAAATTTTTCATATTCAACAGAAAATCAACATAATCATCATAATTTTAACTTAAAATTTAATTTGCATTACCATGCTCATGTACAAAAGAACTATATACAATGAATTGAATACTTGTTTTCACTCAGCATAATCAAAACAATTTATAGAGGCCAGAGGACTATTATGGATGTACAACATAAAGGAAAAGGGGTATAACCAAACTTTTTGTATGCCCAAATTTTAAATCTCATCAATGACAAGATGAAAGAATCTACAAATTTTTGGAGTTATGAGCAGAAAGAAAATATTTTACTTGTTTTTGTAACATTTGGTCCCTTTCTAAGTTTAGATTTTCACTGTAAAAAGTGAGAGCTCAATTCATTTGCCTCATGGTACTTGCTCTGAAAGACGCACAACAATTATCACCACGAGCTCCAACGATTTAACATTGACATAGCTGCCCTGGCAGAAACACGTAGACCAGAAGGAGGACAGCAAAGAGAAGATGACGGAGAGTACCCCTTTTTCTGGAAAGGACCCCCAGCGGAAGAAAAATGAATTCATGGAGTAGCATTTGCCATCAAGAATGAATTAACAAAGATTCTATCTGAAGTCCCTGTCGGCATCAATGAGCATCTCATGACTCTCCACCTGAAGCTTGCCAAAAACCAACAGGCAACTGTCATGAGTGCTTGCGCACCAACTTTAGATGCCAAAGATGACATGAAGGAGACATTTTACACCCAATTGGACACAGTTTTGAAAGACATCCCCAAAGATTACAAGATTATTGTTTTGGGAGACTTCAATGCCAGGGTCGGAAGAGACGCAGATCTCTGGCAAACCACCATTGTAAAAGAAGGAACTGGCAACAGCCACTCCAATAGAGTGCTCCTCCTTACGAAATGCACAGAACACGAGCTTGTCATCATAAACACCCTCTTCTGCCAGATGAACAAATTTAAGATCTCATGGCAACATACATGATTGAAGCACTGGCACCTTATAGTTTATGTCAGTAGTATAAGGGCCCTACCATCAATCAAACGTTAGCCCCGCCCCCTGACCCCGGAAGTCCCGTCTCCCCTGTCACCGGAAGTCCCGCCCCTGGTGGGTAGTACTTCCGGGTCAAGAGGGACAGGTGACCGGAAGTAAAAGGATGTCATGTGACCCCTGTTAGGCCCGGCCCCTATCGCCGGAAGTCCCGCCCTGGGGGTAATACATCCGGGGTCAAGAGGGCCAGGTAACCGGCAGTAAGGGGTGTCGTGTGACCCCTCTAAGAACTCGCCCCGCCTCCCTCTACCAATCAGGAGGGGTTTTTTCCCTGTAGGACCGCCCCGCGAATCGCTTTGACCAATCGGGGA